ATAATTTCATTTACACAAAAAAATTATTTGATTGTTTTGATATTTTATAAAATATTATTTAGAATTTAAATTTAACAATATTAACAAAAGATAATAATAAATATGTAATATATATGTTTATTGTTTTTAATTTAATAATAATATATACCGTAACGTAAAAAATAAATCATTACACGTCTATAATTACTAAATTAATTTCTTAAAACTTACTTAAAAGATAACCTTAAATTAATGTTTTCTACAGTGAAAAAAAGTATGGACACTTTTATAAAAAGGATAAATACTTTACAATATAACAGGTAAAAATATGACAAAACCAGTTGCATTATGACAAAACCGATAAAATTTATCTAATATGTTGAAAGTATGAACACTTTTATAAAAAGGATAGATACTTACCGATAACCAAAGTTTACCGGTTACCAATTTTTTTAATAGTTTTTCATGTTTTCTACCTAAAACATTATTAGTCTGTCAACATAATAGGTAGCGTTAAACTGAATTTATTAAATATCTTTTAATGTATTCGGTAATACCGTATATTAATCGTATATTAACTCGCCTTTCCTGAGACAATCCCGAGAGAATATGACTATATAGGAAGAAGAAAGATCTCGATCGTTGAGATATGGACACGTGGAATGATCTTGACGGGAAGATTAACCAGCGTAAGGTTTACAATTTGACTAGGGTTAGTCGTAGAGCTTGGTTGCATATGTTTTTTTTTTTTGGTATTGGCCAATGGGTAGTAGACGACGCCGGTTTTTCTTCGAATTAAAGTAGTAGGTAGCCAGGAGTTTTAATTTTGATTTTGACGGGCCTTCTGAATTTTATCACATACACAGGTCCACTGATAAAAAAAAGGTTTCATTGTAAATAGTTTTAAAAAATATTTCTAATTATAAATATTTCATTTTTAAAAAAAAATAGAGAGATAATTTATTTAAATATAAATTTTTAAAAAAATCAATGTAATATTTTAACGTTAAGTGATAAATAGATATATAATCCTTTATCATGTTGAACAGTTTTTTTGTTTTAGTTTTTGTATTAAGTAAAAATTTAACAATTTAAATATTTTATGAAGAGATAATTTGTTTCAAATATAAGTTTTTGAAATATAAAATAAATTTAATATTTTAAACATAGCTACCTAATATATAATACTTCCGCTGCCATACATAAAAAGTGTAATATAAAATTAAGTGTTTAAAATATATTTTTCATTTAAATGTTTACTTTTTTTTATTAATTTAGGTATTTAATATTATTAATGTCATTATTTATATATTTATAATATATTCATATTATAATAAGTTTTGTAATTAATATTTTAATTTTAGCATATAAATTATAAATAATTTCATTTGTAATTTGATATTTATATTATTTCTGTTAGAATATAACAAAAGTTTGAGTTAGTCTGATGGTTAAGATCGAATTCTTGTTTGAAAGTACTAAAGTTTGAATCCTTTAAATATGGATATTATTTTGGGTATTTTAAGCACCAAAATAATAATGTTATCGTGCTATTAAAATTAAACGTTTTCTCTGACGCCACTTACTTTTCTTTCTCCTTTGTTTCGACACATGAGTGGTGTTTGTTTTTGCACAGATAAAATATTTACAGTTTATGGATCTGTAGGTATCTGTAACAGAAGAGGTGGACCAAAAGTCTACAGTCTGTAAGAAGAATATTGTTTGTTTTTTAAAGTCTGCAGACTGCTAAAATGAACTGAAATATAAATAAACTGATTTTTTAAACTTAAAAGAGTTTTGTAATACTGAGATTTAAATAATTTTAGTTTTACAATACTAAAATTTAAATAATCTATACAACTACAATAATAAATTATTTAAAATAAATCAATCCATATTTTAAAATAAATTAATCCATACTAATAAATTATTTAAAATAAATCAATCCATACAACTACAATAATAAATCAATCCATATTTTAAAATAAATCAATCCATACTAATAAATTATTTAAAATAAACCAATCCATATTTTAAAATAAATCAATCCATACTAATAAATTATTTAAAATAAATCAATCCATATTTTAAAATAAATCAATTCATACTAATAAATTATTTAACATAAATCAATCTATACAACTACAATAATAAATCAATCCATATTTTAAAATAAATCAATCCATACTAATAAATTATTTAAAATAAATCAATCCATATTTTAAAATAAATCAATCCATACTAATAAATTATTTAAAATAAATCAATCCATATTTTAAAATAAATCAATACATACTAATAAATTATTTAAAATAAATCAATCCATATTTTAAAATAAATCAATACATACTAATAAATTATTTAAAATAAATCAATCCATATTTTAAAATAAATCAATCTATACTAATAAATTATTTTAAAATAAATCAATCCATATTTTAAAATAAATCAATCCATACTAATAAATTATTTAAAATAAATTATTTTAAAATAAATCAATCCATATTTTATAATATTTTATTTTGAAATTTATTTTAATAAATAATCATATTTTATAATTGTTCTTGAAGAGGTTTGAAGACCTTTGAAGACATAAAACTATGTATACACCAAGAAGAGCTCGCGCAAACGTTATAAAAGCTTATGCCTTCTAAAACACAAACGATTTACGAAGCCTAATGCCTGTACGTGGTCTGCGTGGCACAGACATAACAGATTTGAAGAAGTAACACAGTGAAAACAAACACATGTTTAGTATCAAAGATCTCAATGGTAAATATATGATTATAAAAATTAGGGTATTAATTATAAAGATAAAAAAATGTTATAAAAATAAAAAATGTAATAAAAAATTAAGGATCCTATAAAGAGGAAAGCCTGCAACTCTGTCCATCATTAAACACCGACAACTCTGTGTCCAAATCACTTTAAGATATTCCTTTGGTTAGGGGAAACAAAATGTTATACCCCTTTCGAATCTCCTCCATTCTACACATCATGGTTTAGTGATGGTAAATGGGTACAGTTTTGTGGATTCCGTATCGTATTCGTTTCAATTAGAGTGGGGATGAGTATAATTTTAGCAGGTAGTGGGCGGGTATGGATTTATAAAGTGGTACCCGTCGTTGGTGGTGGGCGGGTAATAGGTTTGAGACATTACCTGCCCCACATCTGCCCGCCCAGCTAAATATTTATTAAATTTTGGACCATTATGAATTTAGGTGTAATTTTAGAGACTAATTTATAAATTTTAATATTGTATAATATATAACATGTAATTTATCCAAATATTAAGGATATTTAGTCTTTAATCTGGTCTTTAATTAGGGAAATATTCGGCTCTTTGATTAAACCCATAATCCCACTAACGACGTCACTTTCCATGTTCTTTAGCCCATGCTGCCCATCCAAACACAAATTAGTCGTACTATAAGCATTAACATCAAAAGCAACAGTTTACATATTCTTTAGCCCCTCAAAACCCATATTAGGCGCACTATGAGCATTAACATCGAAAGCAACACAACAATCCAGCTCTGCGACTACATGCTCCCTACAATCTGTCTCCATAACATTCGTAGAGCTACTCCTCTGACAAATTGAAGCATGCGCTTCTACCCCATCACGAACAGTCTGAGAACCAACTCCAACATCCCATTAGTTTGCTGTCAGGCGGGTCTAGATGGGTATGTCGCTAGTGGGTGTGGGGATGGATTTGAAAATGTACCCGCGTGGGCGGGTGTGGATTTGAAAATTTGTACCCATCATGGGTGGTGGGCGGGTGGTAGATTGAAAAATATTAGGTGGGTATGGGGATGGGGGAGGGGGTATCCGCACCCGACCCGCCCGTTTGCCATCCCTATCATGGTCTCTCCTCCTTCAGAGAGGAGTGCCCCAAAAAAATATTTCTAAGCACGAGACATAAGACACTCGAAGCCTTATATCCTTAGAGAAATCACAATCTTTTGATATAACTTCTAAAATATTCTCTATGATTTATCAAAATCAATTGACAGTTAATCACATCCAATAAATTTGTTTGTTTAGTTAACTTACATATAATGATCATAGATCTACACTTAACATTAACACTTAAAATCACTATAAAAACTCTCCATCAAAATAGAGAGAGAGAGAGGAGACATCCAAGTTCTTCGAATCTCCTCCACTCTACACATCATGGTCTCTCCTCCTTCAGAGAGGAGTGCCCCAAAAAAATATTTCTAAGCACGAGACATAAGACACTCGAAGCCTTATATCCTTAGAGAAATCACAATCTTTTGATATAACTTCTAAAATATTCTCTGTAATTTATTAAAATCAATTGACAGTTAATCACGTCAAATAAATTTGTTTGTTTAAACTTACATATAATGATCATAGATCTACACTTAACATTAACACTTAAAATCACTATAAAAACTCTCCATCAAAATCGAGAGAGAGGAGACATACAAGTTCCCATATTCAACCATCCTCCTCACAAATAAGAGAATTTTTGTCCCCAGTTAACAATCTACTATATTTTTATTTAAATTAAAAACAGATAAAATTCCTATATCCAAAATAAATAATTTATTTTCATTAGTATTTAACATTTAAAGAGAGTATATTCTGGTAAATTAGGTATAGTGACCGGTATGGAGATCACAATGATGATGATGATGATTCATTCAATTATGTTGTGACAGTGATGAATAGAGGTAAGTACATATAGAACCAGAGTTCATATTTGTAACGAGAGATACAGGTATCACCCAACCACTCTATTTATTGGATTCTGAAAGGTTTATTGAGACATTAATTATTAGATGTTTCCACTCAATATTTGTACCGGTCCATAACCGTTAGATTAGCATCCATCGTCGTCCATTTTCCTATTCATTGATTGAGTAAATTTATTCATGAACAGACAATAAATTAATAACTTGGCTCTTAATTTAAACATATTTTTTGTTTTATGGTCTTCATTCGTCCTTCCTTCAGAAGACTTTTATTGCATGCAGTCTTCACACTAAGCTTTATTAAAAGTGCAGAAGGATATTGTTTTATCGCTACAAAAGCTCAAGGATGATGATGCGAAAATGGAGGCCATTTTCCGAACTTAGGATGATGGTGGAAATACTTGGGGAAAGGAGGAAGTTTAGGGAGGACTGGGCACGACTTCTTAGGGAACGGTGGGAGCTTGGGAAGTGGAGGGTGCGGTTTTGGCTTGTATGCAGGAATAGGTGGAGGAAGTGGTTTTTTATATACTCGAACTGGTGGAGGAAGTGGTTTCTTATATAATGGAATTGGTGGAGGAAGTGGTTTCTTGTGTATCGGGGCCGGAGGAGATTTATAGACCGGAGACTTGTAAACTGGAACTGGAGGTTGATGTGGTTTCTTATAGATTGGAACTGGAGGAGGATGTGGCTTCTTGTATACCGGTACTGGTGGAGGTTTATAGATTGGAACTGCTGGAGGAAGTGGTTTTTCATATCCTGGAACTGGCGGAGGTTTAGACACCGGAACCGACAGTGGAAGAGGTTTCTTGTAGATGGGAGGGAAGATTGAGTGATGATGAAGGAACCCTTTCAACGGAAGAAAGGGAAACGTGGGCAAAGGGGGATGGTTCTACTTCGGCAATGGAGGGAACTTAAAATGAGGCCAAAAGGTGGCCGAAGCAAACGTTACAGGTGAGAATCTGAGCTTTCCTTTCAACCCAAAGTTGTGTTTCTCATCGCTACTGGATTTCAACACTATCTTGACCGACTCCATGCCATCATGTGTGGGACAAGGTTCAATCGACACACTATGAAGCTGCGCATAGCATTCTTCCCTCAGTTCCCCATCTTTAACCATCTCCTCAGGCAGTGTCACCTTAAAATTCCCTTCTTTATCAAGCTCACCTGAACCTCGTGTCTTGAAGTACTTCCCATTCTCTGGCTTGCAGTCTATGTTTACACGAAGCCCTGTAGACAGAAAATACAAATCACCGAAGACAAAACCACCACCAATATATTACATGCATCCAAATGAATGGCCATTGGCCCCGTACCTGAAAATGCCTGGCTAGTCTCCAAGTTATTCTCCGCACAATCTGCACAGTCACCGACCCCAACAACCTCGACCGTTTTGCCACCCACATTGGAGAAACCAACAATAAATAAGTAGAGAAAGAAACACACAAGTGCGACACCTCGAACCGGGAGGATCTGCATTGGGAACCGAGCTTGTACGGTGTCCCACCCAAAACAGCTGATTAGCTGATCAGAAAGCAAAAGCCAAATGAGCTTGAGTGATGGGGAGATTGAAACGGAGGCTTATTAAATAATGATCCTGAAGCGAATTCAATTCAGTCCATTGGCTCACTTGAAGGCCCTCACATGGTTTGGAAAAGAAATTTGGCATCAATAGAGCAGATGCCATTATATGTTCATTCATTCAGATCTCAACTGCAAACAGCTAAATTTTGCAGCCTATAAGGAAGCATTTGAGGGCTGTGTAAAGGAGCATTTGAGGCCTTAAAAGCGGTCTTTGAAAGGTATGTATGGAAACAGCAATGTATGTATTGCAGGACATTACTTGAGGGCTGGTTAGGCTTTACAGGTGGGAATAGCCAAGAAGGTATTAATGTGGATGCTCATTTGTTTAACTCGCCCTGTATTTCTCTAGCTATGAGTTCAAGAAATATAAGAGAAAATTAGACCATTTGTTGATGCAAGAATTGTCGAAGTGAAAATTTGCACACGATTTTGTCCTAGAAAAGCATCTCAATAGAAAAACTCGCCAAATTATGGAGCTTGCTGTCTCAATTTTGTTTTGAGTAAACTACCCCAACTAATTATTGTATTATTTCATTTTGACCACCGATGTTTCAGCTTAATAAATCAGATCACTCAATAATTTAAATGCTTCAATCAAATCTGGTCATTAACTTTTAGTAAAGGAGGTGAGATGGTCATTTAATAAAATTGGTATAATTACACTTTTTATCTTCAATATTTATATATTATATTAATACAATCCTAATTTCGATTTAATTTAATCATTTAATCATACAATGGCACATATCATTTAATTGGAGGAAAAAAAAGCACAAAGTGAGATTTAAACTTAGACCAAATAAAGTACTAAAAAGCACTTAATCAGAAACAAATCTTATAACTGGATATTAAATGGATATAGTTTATACATAATTTAAACTCTAATTACTACAAGATTAAAAGAAAAACCGGGTTAATGATTTTTATATTTATAAATTAAATTTAATATTTTTTACATTTATAATTCATTGGTTATATATATAATTTTTTTTAATTTTAATAATAGTTTTATATTTTTATTAAATAAAATATAATATATTAATCATTTATATTTTAATTAATTTTTTTGGATTCTGTAATTCAAAATTTGTAATTAAGTTATAACATTAACATGGTTAAAATCAACTTTAAATTAAATATTTCAAACTATGCGGTCTAATTAAAACTAACTAAAATATAGATAATTAATAATTTTTTTAATAAAAAATAAAAAAATTATTAATTAAATTAAAAAAATCAATTTAATGATTATATATAACCACTGAATTATAAATGTAAAAAGAATTAATAATTTAGTTTAAAGATATAAAAAATATTCAACCCAATTTTCTTTTAATCTTGTAGTGGTTAGACTTCAAAATATGTATAAACTATGTCCATTTAATATCTAATTATAAGATTTGTTTATGGTTTAGTGCTCTTTAATACTTTATTGAACCTAAGTTTAAATCTCACTATATCAACTTAATATGACTTGTTTTCTAGCATTAATTACAATTATTGAGTAAAAATATTCTAATGGCTGGGGTTGAGATCAAATTGATAAAATATAAAAAAAATTAAAAATATTAAAGATCAAATGTGTAATTATAATAGTTACATTAACTGTCAAGTCATTTTTAGTTAAAATTGATTAAAATATCAGTGATCAAAATAAAATCAAAATATAATTAAATGGTGTGACATAAATTATTTGATAGTTTAGTAAGCTTCAAAATAATGTAAAGGTATGGAATAACACAAATCAAATTACTTCAGTAGTTAAAGGAATGAATGTTATTTCTAGAGGTTACTGTTCGAGCACCAATGATTATTGCAAGATGATTGAACCTTCATTGTTAAATGTTAAAAGTATTTAGAATATATATTCATTTGTAATCACCTTAACTTAATAAAAAATATACATGCATTCAGTGATAATAAATTTCCCTTCCTAAATATAAGCATGATTATAATAAATATCACATAATTTAATAAACAAATAAGGCATTTATAACTATTTTAATTTTACTTGCTTTCAACAAACTTTTCAAACGTAAAAGTACTGTTTTTTAACTTTTTAGTTTGAGTCAATAATCACTTTTTAAATGAGATTTTTTGCTAAAAATAAAGTGTTTGAGATTATTTTTGCGTTTCAAACGAATTTGTGTACCAAAAGAACTTCCGTAAACATCCTCAAACCACCCATATAATGTAAAACTTAAAAGTTTTACACATCTTTTGTGTTATGAGATTAAAAAAATATAATTTACTTTTGATATAACTTCTAATACATCTTCTGTGATTTATCAAAATTAATTGACAGTTAATCACATCAAGTAAGTTTGTTTGTCTAGTTAACTTACATATAATCATCATAGATCTACACTTAACATTAACACTTAAATTCACTATAAAAACTCTCCATCAAAACCGAGAGAGAGGAGACATCCAAGTTCCCATATTCAACCATCCTCCTCACAAATAAGAGAATTTTTATCCCCAGTTAACAATCTACTATATTTTTATTTAAATTAAAAAGAGATAAAATTACTATAGCCAAAATAAATAATTTATTTTCATTAGTATTTAACATTTAAAGAGAGTATATTCGGGTAAATTAGGTATAGTGACCGGTATGGAGATCACGATGATGATGATGATTCATTCAATTATGTTGTGACAGTGATGAATAGAGGTAAGTACATATAGAACCAGAGTTCATATTTGTAACGAGAGATACAGGTATCACCCAACCACTCTATTTATTGGATTCTGAAAGGTTTATTGAGACATTAATTATTAGATGTTTCCACTCAATATTTGTACCGGTCCATAACCATTAGATTAGCATCCATCGTCGTCCATTTTCCTACTCATTGATTGAGTAAATTTATTCATGAACAGACAATAAATTAATAACTTGGCTCTTAATTTAAACATATTTTTTGTTTTATGGTCTTCATTCGTCCTTCCTTCAGAAGACTTTTATTGCATGCAGTCTTCACACTAAGCTTTATTAAAAGTGCAGAAGGATATTGTTTTATCGCTACAAAAGCTCAAGGATGATGATGCGAAAATGGAGGCCATTTTCCGAACTTAGGATGATGGTGGAAATACTTGGGGAAAGGAGGAAGTTTAGGGAGGACTGGGCACGACTTCTTAGGGAACGGTGGGAGCTTGGGAAGTGGAGGGTGCGGTTTTGGCTTGTATGCAGGAATAGGTGGAGGAAGTGTTTTTTTATATACTCGAACTGGTGGAGGAAGTGGTTTCTTATATAATGGAATTGGTGGAGGAAGTGGTTTCTTGTGTATCGGGGCCGGAGGAGATTTATAGACCGGAGACTTGTAAACTGGAACTGGAGGTTGATGTGGTTTCTTATAGATTGGAACTGGAGGAGGATGTGGCTTCTTGTATACCGGTACTGGTGGAGGTTTATAGATTGGAACTGCTGGAGGAAGTGGTTTTTCATATCCTGGAACTGGCGGAGGTTTAGACACCGGAACCGACAGTGGAAGAGGTTTCTTGTAGATGGGAGGGAAGATTGAGTGATGATGAAGGAACCCTTTCAACGGAAGAAAGGGAAACGTGGGCAAAGGGGGATGGTTCCACTTCGGCAATGGAGGGAACTTAAAATGAGGCCAAAAGGTGGCCGAAGCAAACGTTACAGGTGAGAATCTGAGCTTTCCTTTCAACCCAAAGTTGTGTTTCTCAATGCTACTGGATTTCAACACTATCTTGACCGACTCCATGCCATCATGTGTGGGACAAGGTTCAGTCGACACACTATGAAGCTGCGCATAGCATTTTTCCCTCAGTTCCCCATCTTTAACCATCTCCTCAGGCAGTGTCACCTTAAAATTCCCTTCTTTATCAAGCTCACCTGAACCTCGTGTCTTGAAGTACTTTCCATTCTCTGGCTTGCAGTCTATGTTTACACGAAGCCCTGTAGACAGAAAATACAAATCACCGAAGACAAAACCACCACCAATATATTACATGCATCCAAATGAATGGCCATTGGCCCCGTACCTGAAAATGCCTGGCTAGTCTCCAGGTTATTCTCCGCACAATCTGCACAGTCACCGACCCCAACAACCTCGACCGTTTTGCCACCCACATTGGAGAAACCAACAATAAATAAGTAGAGAAAGAAACACACAAGTGCGACACCTCGAACCGGGAGGATCTGCATTGGGAACCGAGCTTGTACGGTGTCCCACCCAAAACAGCTGATTAGCTGATCAGAAAGCAAAAGCCAAATGAGCTTGAGTGATGGGGAGATTGGAAACGGAGGCTTATTAAATAATGATCCTGAAGGGAATTCAATTCAGTCCATTGGCTCACTTGAAGGCCCTCACATGGTTTGGAAAAGCAATTTGGCATCAATAGAGCAGATGCCATTATCTGTTCATTCATTCAGATCTCAACTGCAAACAGCTAAATTTTGCAGCCTATAAGGAAGCATTTGAGGGCTGTGTAAAAGAGCATTTGAGGCCTTAAAAGCGGTCTTTGGAAGGTATGTATGGAAACAGCAATGTATGTATTGCAGGACATTACTTGAGGGCTGGTTAGGCTTTACAGGTGGGAATAGCCAAGAAGGTATTAATGTGGATGCTCATTTGTTTAACTCGCCCTCTATTTCTCTAGCTATGAGTTCAAGAAATATAAGAGAAAATTAGACCATTTGTTGATGTAAGAATTGTCGAACCCTGTGAAAATTTGCACAAGATTTTGTCCTAGAAAAGCATCTCAATAGAAAAACTCGCCAAATTATGGAGCTTGCTGTCTCAATTTTGTTTTGAGTAAACTACCCCCACCTAATTATTGTATTATTTCATTTTAACCACCGATGTTTCAGCTTAATAAATCAGATCACTCAATAATTTAAATGTTTCAATCAAATCTGATCATTAACTTTTAGTAAAGGAGGTGAGATGGTCATTTAATAAAATTGGTATAATTACACTTTTTATCTTCAATATTTATATATTCTATTTATACAATCCTAATTTCGATTTAATTTAATCATTTAATCATACAATGGCACATATCATTTAATTGGAGGGAAAAAAAAACACAAAGTGAGATTTAAACTTAGACCAAATAAAGTACTAAAAAGCACTTAATCAGAAACAAATCTTATAACTGGATATTAAATGGATATAGTTTATACATAATTTAAACTCTAATTACTACAAGATTAAAAGAAAAACCGGGTTAATGATTTTATATTTATAAATTAAATTTAATATTTTTTACATTTATAATTCATTGGTTATATATATATATATTTTTTAATTTTAATAATAGTTTTATATTTTTATTAAATAAATATAATATATGAATCATTTATTTTAATTAATTTTTTTGGATTCTGTAATTCAAAATTTGTAATTAAGTTATAACATTAACATGGTTAAAATCAACTTTAAATTAAATATTTCAAACTATGCGGTCTAATTAAAACTAACTAAAATATAGATAATTAATAATTTTTTTAATAAAAAAATAAAAAAAATTATTAATTAAATTAAAAAAATCAATTTAATGATTATATATATAACCACTGAATTATAAATGTAAAAAAGAATTAATAATTTAGTTTAAAGATATAAAAATATTCAACCCAATTTTCTTTTAATCTTGTAGTGGTTAGACTTCAAAATATGTATAAACTATGTCCATTTAATATCTAATTATAAGATTTGTTTATGGTTTAGTGCTCTTTAATACTTTATTGAACCTAAGTTTAAATCTCACTATATCAACTTAATATGACTTGTTTTCTAGCATTAATTACAATTATTGAGTAAAAATATTCTAATGGATGGGGTTGAGATCAAATTGATAAAATATAAAAAAAATTAAAAATATTAAAGATCAAATGTGTAATTATAATAGTTACGTTAACTGTCAAGTCATTTTTAGTTAAAATTGATTAAAATATCAGTGATCAAAATAAAATCAAAATATAATTAAATGGTGTGACATAAATTATTTGATAGTTTAGTAAGCTTCAAAATAATATAAAGGTATGGAATAACACAAATCAAATTACTTCAGTAGTTAAAGGAATGAATGTTATTTCTAGAGGTTACTGTTCGAGCACCAATGATTATTGCATGATGATTGAACCTTCATTGTTAAATGTTAAAAGTATTTAGAATAGATATTCCTTTGTAATCACCTTAACTTAATAAAAAATATACATGCATTCAGTGATAATAAATTTCCCTTCCTAAATATAAGCATGATTATAATAAATATCACATAATTTAATAAACAAATAAGGCATTTATAACTATTTTAATTTTACTTGCTTTCAACAAACTTTTCAAACGTAAAAGTAATGTTTTTTTAACTTTTTAGTTTGAGTCAATAATCACTTTTTAAATGAGATTTTTTGCTAAAAATAAAGTGTTTGAGATTATTTTTGCGTTTCAAACGAATTTGTGTACCAAAAGAACTTCCGTAAACATCCTCAAACCACCCATATAATGTAAAACTTAAAAGTTTTACACATCTTTTGTGTTATGAGATTAAAAAAATATAATTTACTTTTTTCTTTATAAAGATTTTATTTTCTAATATTATTCCCCACCATTCATTTTTAATTAATTTAATTATCTAAAATTGTATAAATTTCACAATATATCAATAGATTCAAACTCAAGTACTCAGTCTAACAATAATCATGTGTATATAGTTCACTTTTCATTAATGAGGGTTGATTTAAGTGGTAAACAGTTTGATATCGTTTAAGCAAAATCTCAGGTTTGAGTTCTTGTGTATGCAAAAAATCCCTACTGGAAGACTCACCCACCAAAGCTATGTATACAGTCCGGGTCGATCCAGATTAGTCAAGATGAAGCCTTGGAACTAGAGGTTAACAAAAAAAATTGTTCTCGAGTTAAAATTTTAAATTTCAGATTGAAAATAGGCGTGCATTAAAAATATGTCAAGAACAAGGGTTAGTTTAATTCAATATGTTAATTTTAAAATTTAAATATTAAAATAATTACTTATAAGAAATACATTTTTTAAGGTTGGTTATATAACTGAAGGTAAGGTTATATAACTGAAGGTAAGGTTATATAGTTGGAGATACGTTATGTCGTTGTTAGATACGTCTTGTCAATCGTATATTTTCTTAAATACTTTCAATAAGACATATTAGGGTGTTTTTCCCGCTATATCACCTATATATTATATATTTCCCTGTCAGGTACTCTTCAGACTATTTTTCTTGATCTAACACCCTTTGCAGTAAGGCGCTCCCCTGCAGCGCGCTTTACGCTGATATGGCACCACGTGGGGTAAGACGCACCCCCTGCAACGCGCTTTATGCTGAGTTGGGATACACGTGGCTATAACGCGACCCCTGAGGCGCGTCTTACTCCATGTAGGGCTATAGCGCGGTGCAGGGGCTGTGCTTTTCAATTATCACATGCTCAATTATCATACATGCATAGCCTTGCATAATTTACCCGAATTTATCGGCTTTAAAGCATCCTCTCTCGGCTATAAATAGCCCTCTCTCCGTAAACTCTCTCATCAACAATCCTTTCAACCAGTAAATAACGCCCGACAATCCTCTTATATTTGATTCAGAAGTTTGTTCAATCTTTCGTTATAAGATAATTTTGTTATATTATTTTTTTATAATTATATATGATTATTTGAAAAAATATATTATACTAATTGTTTTCAATTAATTTATGTGTTTGTAAAATTGGAAAGCGAGAGCATACGTCGAAATATTTTTGCGGTGCAGGTAATAATATAAAATTATATTATTTAAATTATTTACGTTCATGTGTAAAAATTTTATGGTGTTATATTTTCGTTCATATATTATTTATTTAATCAGGTTTGTTTCAGTTGTTTTTTTATAGATATAATATTATCGCACTTTTAAACTCTAAGAATGGCGTGACTTTCAGCTATTGTTTATTATGATGGAGAAATTCGAGAAGATGAATCTGGTGTTGTTTTCGTATCAAATGAGCGTGTTAAAATATCATTCAAGAGAAACATAACTCTTGAGGAGCTAATAACAAAGATTTCGAGGAAAGTTCATGTTGGAAGTAGTAGAAGAATGTCGTCGTTGCAGTATAGATTTCCAGTATCATTGTTGCCATTAA